ACAATCACAGTTATCGTCATCCAACAGCACCGACTTGACTCCGTTCTGCACACGGTACATGAATGCACGTTGATCATTCTTCGGCTTGCTACCGTTCAGCACTTTTGGATTCCACGCAAGTATGCTGCCTACGCTCACCCCATGGTCAACCTCCTGGTGATCATGAAAGGCCCGCCAAGCTGCACTGGCTGCTGAAGCGTTAGAAATGAAACTCCACTTGTATGCAGTGCCTTCTGAGTCAACTGCAAGCATTTCAGTTTCATTTGCTTTAGCGTCTGAAGGGAGTCGACCAAAGCAGTACGGATCACTCGGCTTGCAGTGACCAAATTCATAGGCAAGGACGTCTATTTCATTTGACGGCCACGTGATATTAACGTCATACCACCAGAAGGCTGTCCAGTCTCCATCAATGGACGGAAGAACTCGACCTATGAGTACAAACAATGAACACGCTGAAAAAGAGTTGATGTACCGCCATGCAGGCCGGGTAACCAAACGGGGCCAAGGGTATGTGTGCTTCTCCCTCTCTAGTTTGATTTGAAAAAGTAACAACTTTCGTAGCAGTAGATCAAAGGTTCTCTTATCGAATCTATTGATTCTGTGGTAATATCCTGATTTGCTTCATGATTCCAATGACACGATACCTTAACCCTTTCACCTCCAGGATCTCATTAGTAATTCTCCTTACCGTCTGCCTTACAATTTTTATGATGTTAAGTTGGAGAATTTTGTATTTGATCAACTGATAATCTTCTAATTGCTGTTTTCTTTATTCTAATCTCTTGTCTGCTTGATATTATATTGATGCTGTAAGGAAAAAATTCTGTCTTGATCATCCATTGGAGTAAAAGGGTTAAAAGTCTTCACCTTACCACTACGGGAGTTAAAAAATTTTGCTGACACTCGTCTTAATGCCACGTTAATTCATAGTCTTTGCCTTCTATTTATGATTCACACGGCTTTCAGAATCCTCTCTCATCAATCATGCATGTGGCATGTGTTGATAAGCCAACTCTAACTTCTGTAATCATGTTGTGAAAAATATGTAAGCAGATTAATTCGAAGCTCCAACACTACCTTATTACCTTCCCCCCCCCCCAAACTCACTTGTGATCTGGATGTCATCCGTGCACCGGGGTAGGGAATGCGAACCTTCTACTAGGTGGGGTGGGGAATTTGAACCAGTAGTTTCACTTTCAAAATTAGGATGGCTGTAAAAGTTCGCATTAGCGAACGGCTTAGAAGACAAATTCACATCGTAGAATGATGCTTACATGCAAAAAATCAAACAGCGGCGCCGAAAAACTAATANGGGTTATGGTTTCTCTTCGATCTGAGCAGCAAGTAGGCGCCTCCACCGATCTTGAATATCCGTGAAACCTCTCAATCCCCCACTTGCCACCCCTGTATCGGAAAATGGGCCCAACTTCCGCTTACCTTTATCGAGAAATGCACAAATGTCTCATCGACCATCATTTTTTCGGGAGAATCGTACTTGTTAGCCTCCAGTAGCTGACACTCGTGACCCCATTTCCGCCATAATTCAGTGAGGTGCATCTTTCGTGAACCAAACATCTCTCTAAGCATTCTGTGTACTCATTTGTAGTGCTGGACTGTAGCTGGYTGGTATGCAGTCTTTGCTTGACGTGTCTGGCAAAATTTGCGAATCTTATGCCGTTTGCAGAATCTCTAACAGCTTGCTGCGTTGTCGAGGGTATATAGAAAAGAAAAATAGTAAAAAGGCTGCAAATAGTTGAAATTGGCTCCATATGTGTCATAATCAACGATGATCTTCTGGAAACTGGGCTTGAAAGCTCCGAAACTCCTCATTAGAATCTAGGAAGTAATTCTTGACGTCATCTGAAACTGTGGAGACAAACAATGGCGTGATTTGCGTCAAACTGTTGTCTTTCTGTATCTAACTATAGAAAACCACCCTTCGAGATTGTTGAAATTTGTGCCGTATAAAAAGTAAAGGTTATACGAAAAAGGTGCGCATCAATTTTCAGCCAATTTTACGGTCTCTTGGTCAATTGAGAGGCTATCAGTATCCAAAGGGGCCCATCCTGTCTCTAGAGAGGGAGTAACTTGATTGAGGTTCCCTTTTCAAGGATGTTTCTAGAATCTTATCCTCTCCGGGCTGCCTTTTCTTTATTCTCCGTTTTCTTTGTTAGTCTGCAGGTAACTGTCAACGTTTGTCGGGGAAACTTTGTCGATTTGAAACACGCGCCTTCGATATGGATAGTCATCAATTTTAAGTATTGCTCACAATTTGATGTTACTTTTGCAAATTATGGAAACTCTCTGTACTGACCATTAAAACAACTTCAACGGGACGTAAATGATCGCGCTATCTTTCATCCGCGCGGCAAACGTGGATCCTAGTTTTCGATGTACTTCAGTTCTAAATTCGTCGAGGGTAACCGTACTTGTTTGACTAAAAAGTTTTCCTTTCCGGTTGCAGTTTTGCATTTCATTTTTTTCCTTAGGAGGGTTGAGACCCAGCTTTCCCCAAGTGCGACCCATGTTTTATTAGAGACAAAGCTGCGAGACAAGAGCCGGTGATTCAAGTGCTTGTCTCCCAAAACAATTATCGTATCAATACAGATGAAACTCCTCTTCGAAAAAAAACGCCGCCCTTGATGCTGATTGAAGTAAAATTAACCACGAACACCGCATCTATTTGGAAGAATGCGGTGTTTATTTCAGGGTCATAGGGAAAAGAATTCAAATGCATTTCAACTCGTCAGTCTGAGTTATCCTGTTTCACATATGAAAAGCATTACACATTTGATGATATTGACATGTTAAAATCGCGCACGACAAGTATCAAATTATAATCATCAATAAAGTCAGACAATCAAGATTATTTCGTAGCTTAAAAATGAGACATAAAAGTTATGTTTCTGCCTGACATGATTATTTAGCCGCTCTCGAAATAAACGCCGCCTTTGTAAATGTTGAACTCGCAATCTGTGCCTCTAGGCTAAATGGGTCTGGGTCTGATTAGTGTGCTCGCTGGGCATGGCGGGAATCTCTACTACCATGGCGGCAGAGTTTAAGCTTGGAAGATGCAAGTTGCTGAGATCGAATGCCGATTATTTGCACCAAGTCATTCAAATTTACGACGAAAATAGCGAAAATGAACAGTCAGGTGAGCTATTATGGACTGATGGAGAAAAATTGTGGTTGTCAACGGTAAAGTTTACCCGCAACAGCGAAGAGTTTTCAGCAAAGGAACGCTTTTTAGTTGGAGAATTCGAAAGTCTTGTTATAGGAATATCATGCAGCGCGCTGATCAAGCATTCTACTGGGTATTTCATTGCCGTAGTTCTAAAGGAAAAAGTTGTTGTTTTGTGGAGAAAGATCGGGGAGGTTAACGTTACTGTGGTGAAAGATTACTTTGTAAACTGTTTACCTCGAGGTTGCGAGTGGCATCCTCATGCTCCAATGCTTTCTGTACTCTCCAAAACGTCAGCGGTATTATTATGTTTTTCGGAAGAACACGACTGCAACATCATCTCTATAAAAACTTCACACAGGTAAGCTGTATATGAACTCAATAGCAAGACAAGAAAGATTTGGTAAGCTCTACTGCAGGATAACAAAATACATTTAGTTACCGTAAAATAATACAACATGTAAACCGGAAAACACACTGTCTTGATACTGTGCATTGCAGTGTGAAACGTTGACTAGCAACAGAGGAGATTCCATTTATACAGTTGATGGATTTTTCTGAGATTGAATTACCATAGAATCGACATTTTATTTATGAGTCTGACTCACAGTTTTATGATCTTTATTTAGTTGGCTTTCTTTGTGTGTTTGGCTTTGTTGCTGCCGAATTTCCTAGCTTGGTGGTCAATTGACCAAAAGGATTTTAATGCAGGGATTCTGAAGCTGTCAGTAACATTCTTCTTTCTGCAAAGGAAAAAATCACAAACAGCAACAAACTAAAACACAATCAGCAACAACATACAATGAAAAAAAGAATTACTGACTTAACCCTTAAAACCCTAAGAGTGATCAGCATCTTGTTTCTCCCAACAGTAAGACCACTGAATCATAATTATATTAAGATCATGATAATAAAGTGATCGCCAACCCAAGAAGCTTTGATTGTTAAAAAAATCCCCTTGTCAGCACCAAAGGAAATTGTATTTAGTAGGACCTTGTGAAGTCGTTACCCTGTTTTAAGTGGTTGGTTGTCGTAGTCCCAAAAATTTTTCCCCTTGAGTACTGTAATTTTCACCTCTATTAAGTGGTCACCCTTAACTGAGTCGCAACAGCCTGTTTGTATTGTCATCCACCTGTTTTGAAGGGTCCCTTAAAGCAGAACCACTTAAATAAAACTAAGAATAATCTCTTGAGTCAATTTATATTCCATGTTCATCTCCCAGAATCAATGTTAGCACTTTGAGTTCAAATGTCCTAATTGCATATCTATCACTTTCATAATTGGCCGTCAGATTAACATTCTTTTGTTTAAATTTAAATTAGCCTTTGTGGTCTCATTCTCCAGTACAAAATTCAAGAGAATACATTATCTCATGCGAGGCTAGAAAGGCTAATTTGAATTTAAACAAAAGAATATTAATTTGGCAGCCATTTATGAAAGTGGTCAATTGCAGATTATATTTCTTTTTAGGACTGTTAGCACAATTTGGCACTTTTTGACACATCTAACCCCTGTTCTGGGGAACCTATAATCAGCAGTCAACCTATAGTAAGTGGTTACCCCACCATTCCCTTTGTGTGACCACTTAAAACAGGTTTGACTGTATCAGGGTGGTATCTAAGAAAATGGCCTGCCAGTTGAGAAAGCCATTCAGCCAGCTGTGTCCAGTCATTTGAAACATCTTATCTGTGGGGCAACCAAGCTTTTAGTTTACAAAATGGCATTATCCAAAACAGAGAGACTGTATAGACCAATTAAGACCAGTGAATTCAAATAACACTTCATTTCACCTTTAATAATTCTGCGGCTTAGATGTAGT